GTGACATAGCATGGTCAGGAGTATTATAAGAGTGAAGACCATCTTCATGGAAGCATAGTATTTAGCAGAAGCTTTTACGTCAGGGGTTCTCAAACTGGGGGCCAGGACCCCTCAGGGGATCACGAGGTTATTATATGGGGGGGTTGCGAGCCGTCAACCTCCACCCCAAGCCCCGCTTTGCATCCAGCATTTACAATGGTGTTAAATATATAAAAAAGTGTTTTTAATTTATAAGGGGAGGTCGCACTCAAAGGCTTGCTATGTGAAAGGGGTCACAAGTAAAAAAATTTGAGAGATCTAAATGCATTGTTTTTATCTGTTGCTCCAAACTTATGAACCCCCTTTATATGTGGTGGCTTTACCTGGTTGACTGTAGATCTTAATCCTGCACCCCTGGTGGTACTGCATTTATAAAATGCCCACTTCTGCTGCTTTCATTTTTCTTTTATTCTTTAATTCTGTTGGAAAGACGAAAATGAAGAATTTTAAGTAGAGGGGTAATCCAACCAGTTTTTGACCTTTGAGAATTGGATTCCCTCATGGTTTGGAATTGTTGTCAACCAGTTGGCGTGCTCCACTTCTGCTCTTCTCTTCTTATTGCTAAAACCTCCAGGCATATTAAAGCAAAACAAACTCACTAAACAAGCTGAGACAACTTTAGTAGTGTTAGAACTACTGTGGCTATTTTTTTTAAGGGGCCTGTGATGACATTGAGTTTTTCTTGTTGGAGGAGTTATGGAACTCAGGCTGTTGTGTAATACGATATTTTACTCTAGTAGACATATCTCAGCCCTACTTAGCCAAAAGGCTTGATTTAAAGGAAATAAAAAAAACATTAATGTAGTCTCCCAAATTAATACAGTGCACTCCCAACCAGTCACGGGATCCACTGAAGCTGTAGCAATGTATTTAAATTAGAAAGCAAATTACACTTTAACTTCATATAGACAGGCAGTTTGGCATTGAAAGGTTGGTTGGACCTTCAGAGCTGTTCAACTGAAAAAGTAAGTTTTCACCATTAGTGTTGTCTTGGCTTATATGATATGACTTTAGTCTTGTCTTTTTGTATGCAGAGGTTTCTTTTAATCTGTACTACCAGTAATCTAGAGCACCTTTTTAAATTTATACAGTTTGCTGAAAAGTATTGCTGCAGTTAGCTTTTGAGTTGATGGTTTAATAGCCTTTTAATAATTACAAAGAAGTTAAATACTGAACAGCTGAGTGATTCTAGTGTCTCTTATTCTGATGGCACTTGTTGGTTCTCACTAGCTATGTTGTTTCCTTTCACAAGTTTCCTGTGAAAGGATTAGCCTGTGTTTTCTAGTTCACATTCATTTTCTGAAGATAAATGCACCCAAGGATCTAATGTTCTAAACTTAATTTTGTGCCCACCTCAATAGATACATGTTGTTTACTTGGTGAGCTAGAATAATTCCTTTATCCTTTGTATATAACAATCAGCAACTTTATTAAAAATAGCTGAATATATCTCAATGGATAAGCAAGTTGGCAGTAATAACTTCTACTGAAAAAAGTAATCTGAAAAGCCAGAATTCAAGTTAGTATTTGTTTTGTTTTTCTTTAAGTGTGGGAGTTAGGATTGATATTTTATTTAGTAGCTTTGCTGTATAGCATTTTATGTAAGGTAATACATAATGCTGAATATTAAAACTTTTGCTGAATGTAAGTAATTCTACAGAATATTAAAAAGCTTGTGACTTATTTTGTCATAATTTTGACTTTTTGTAGGTCAATAGCACAAAGTTTGTGCCCTTGTTTAAAACTACAGGATTGTGGCTTGCAGTCCATGGGTTTATTTGAGGATTTGTTTGAGGAATGGTGGTTATAGTTCACAAGTGAATAATTCAGCATTGTAGTCTACAACAATGTCAGACTGTAAAACCAGATTTATAAACTTGAATATTTCTTTGGACTAAAAAGTTGGTATACAGAGTTAAAACTAAAAGGAAATTTCTCTAGTAAATGCTTGACAAGAGAGGTGGAATTTGAGGATGATAGAAAGTGTTTGTTTGCAACATTTTAGTCTTTAAATTTGCAGTCATGTGTGTGGATTGATCTGAAAGCTTATCTGAAAAATGTTTTAAAAGTGCACACTGTAGGTGAGTCAAGTTTTGGTGAGCCAAAAGCTTGTTTTTATGAAGTCTAAGTAGTGAGCCACATTGACAGAGTTCAGTAGGTGAAACTGTGGTTTAGTAGCAATAACCTTGGGATGTGACATATTCTAGTATACTTCACTGGGCCCAATAGAGTGAGTTTTAAAGTTAGATAAAGAAAGAGAATGGACAGAAAAAACGAATACTGTATTGGAGAGACAAAACATATAACAGGAAACTGCTAATTAAGGTAACTTTTGACTACCTGCCATTAAATTCAGTAATTTACTGTATCTGAGTTGACAGGAATGCAAAAGTATGGATATGCAGGATGTGTGGAAAGTATGCTGAACAAACAGCATAATAGATTTTTTTGGGGGGAAAATACATCTAGGCGTTGACCAAAGTTTTCATGCCTGCTTGCCTAAAGTTGAGCTCTTATGGGGGTCGTCTACAAGTGTTTGGCATGCCTGTAAATCTGGCCACTAAAATGTAGGTGCCTAAATATGGATCCGGGAGCTTAATTTTAGGTAACCAGGTTTGAAGTTTTGGCCACACCTTACTGTTGATATCAGAGTGCCTTATAGAAGGTCCACAGATCAATAACAAGATCACTAACCCATTGATTGTAATGATGATTTGCATACAAAAATGTTGTCTAATAAAAGTCTTTCATGGAGAAAGTAATATGTACATTTGTATTATTTAAAACCTCTAAAACTAGTAGTTGTTTGGTTCCGGTATTGTATATGGGATACAAAGCCTTTTACATTCCAGTCGAGATTGATAGTAACACCTGATACCTTCAACAGCGCCTCCAGAACAGGGTGGCATGGAGAAGCTTCTGCTTATACTGAATTGTACTTCTGTTGTGGATAAACAGTGCTCGCTCTCCAGAGTTGTCATTATGGCAATTTTCATGAACACTAAATTTACTTAAAAGTAAAATAATAATAATAATAAAAGACTGATAAGTCTGGTAAATCAAGTGGCAGAGTGCACAAGAGAGAAGTTGTACAATGTGTATGTGTATATGTACATGCACGCGCACAGCTCCAGGTAGCATGTGGTAGCATGTTGACTTTCCCCTCTAAGGTTTCTCACTTATAAGACTTTTTGTATACAGTTCAGAAGCAAGCTGTTTTTAAAAGTGTTCTGGAAGTATCCAGAAACTTCAGGTAGTAGCATAGGGATCTGCAGTCTTGAGGGAGTGGAGTGTGTGCATGTTAGGAAGAGGGGGCAGAACTGACTAGCATCTGATTAACCAGCGGTCAAATTAAGAGAGAGTTGTTTAATGTGAAAAAATCATCTAACTCTGATAAAAAAAAACTAGGAAGAGACTGAAGTTAGCCAAAACCTCAACTTTTGCACTGAACAGCATTTTGAGTACATTTAAAAATAAATAAATAAATAAATAAAATACTACTGCTTTTTTCTGGGTTGCATCTTGCTAACCAGATTTCAGATTTAGTTTGCATCAGATTTCACGAATTCAAGAATTAAACTTCTCCTAAAAATCACATGCAACAGTGAAGGAAGAGAGGTATTGGTAAACATTCTATTCTTTCTCTTGATATTGTAGATACAATTTAAAATCTGGCTTGTATTTAGCTGTGTAATCTAATGTATTGCTTGAATTTTCATGTCCAGAAACAAAAAAATTATGAGTTTACTAACATGTTTCTCATAATATTTATATTATTTAACATTTTCCTGAGTGATGTGTGTGCCACATGAGGGTGGAGATGTTGTGATAATTACTAGTTTTTTGAATTGCATGGTAATTACTATATCAAAATGAATAATTGGCCTCACCCTTTTCACCAGGTTTTTCCAGTTTTTAAATTAATACATTGCATGTTAAAGCAGGGCATATCCTTTTATTTTTGTGTTTCTTAAGTTTCAACTGTTAGGCCAAATTTAGTGTTTGTTAATGAGGGGGGAAAAGTTTAACTACAGGACATCTACATTACTAATTTTATAAATTAAATGTGTTTAGTATGTTGGCTTACTGTACTTTTAGTTGGTTGAGAAGCTGAAAAAGGAAGATTATCTGTTACGGCTGGGGTAGTGTTTTATTTAAACTAGATTCATTTTCTTACAAATTGTTTCTATTAAATCTACACAATATTACTCCTATTTTTCCTTTTCCTTTTAAATACCAGCTGTTTAAAATGATCTGTTCCCAGACTAGTTTCCTTCTCTGTGGCATCTATATAATTCTTTGTTCCCAATTTTTAAAAATCCTGTGGACCTCAATTCATCCACTAGACATGGTAGTACCTCACCAAGTTTGAGAATTACTCTATTTGCCAAGCTAGAATTATCTAGATAATTTGAATAATGGCAAATATAACAATTTTCAAAATTACTTTAAGGAAATATAGTTATGGAATCTCAAATTATTTTTCAAAGTATTCCAGTACACACAGATTTTATACTTGATTTTAACTTCTTGATAAATCTAAGACCTGTTCATAATCTTTCCTCCTTAAACGCTAAATTAGCTCATTGGCAAGCTACAGTTTCTTAAACTGTGTGGCAGACATTTCCAAGCAAGAGTGGGGAAGGCACTGTATGCAACGTCTGACATAAGTGTTATGCACAGCTTCTATTTTAAATTAATCCCCAGTCAACTAGCAAACGTACCAAAATTTACAAAGCAGTTTGTTAAATGAATAAGCCGGTGTCTCTTTGTAGTCTGACCTGGTTCAAAATTGCAGTTGTCAATCCAACAGGAAACCCAACTTTCATTTTTGCTTGCTTTATAATATTAATCAGATTGGCAATGAATGTATTTCTGTTGGAATTGTGTTGTAATGCTATTCTAATTTACTCCTGTCTCTCTAACATTGCTGCTGATGTTTAATCTTTTTTCCCTCCCAGCTGAATGGTCTTAAAATGGTGGATGAACCCATGGAAGAAGGAGAACCATATTCTTACAATGTAAGTACATTTTGATGAATATAGTATTGGATGCTTATTGCTTGCACAGAGCCGGGGGGAAGTCCTTTTAAAAAATTTACCCGCTGTAGGAATTGTGCACTGTGGTTTGAGCCACAAAGCAAGCAGTATAAACAATTGGAGATGACTGACTGAGGCTGCCTTCCAGTTGGAGGCCAGGTCAAAACCCAGCCCCTTTCCTAATCTTTCATTTCTGTGGGATGATCTCAACTGTTGATTTTACAGTAGATACATAATAGAGCAAAGAGATTAATTCTGGTTTTCTTATTCCAAAGAAAAAAGCAGGCCTGCACCCCATTCTTGACTTTTGAAAGCTAACGAAACATCTTCCTGAGATGCTTAACGTTCATTTTTTTCTGGAAAATGTTATCCCTTCTCCAGTTTAGTAGATTGGATTATGGCCCTCAGTTTCAGCATAACTTCTTCCAGGCATTCTCCTGATCAAGGCGTGAAAGTATACATCTTGCTCCCAAATATTGATCAGAAGTATGCCTGGGATGTGTATCAGATTTAAACTGGGCAACAACCATTTCCATTTTATGATGTTATATCTTATGCTGCCTGCATTCCACAAAGTTGTTCACTTAATATCTGGTGATGGTGACTGATCATCCTTATCCTCATAAGTAACATATAACCTTGCCAAGATGACTGGCTCATAATATCTCCATTTAGGTCAAGGTATAATGCTCCCTTTTCAATTCTTTGGGGTTGAAGGAGAAGGTAGAAGAGTCCTGTACTGAGCTTGACTCTGCTGTTGATATTTATAGGTGCAATTCTTTAAGATACCTGGAGTGAATCTTTTGGCCACAAGCCTGAAAGCAACATATCTGATATTTTATTTCAAAGCAAGCATCTGAAGTTTGATAGATGTTTTTCTTATTGGGGACAGAGCTCATTTTCAATTATTTCTCTACACTGCATTGCTTCTCAAGGTTCTGAGGAAGACTCTCAGCTCTTTCTGTAAAATGGGCTCCTTAAAGGAGTCTCAAGTTGGGTACCCAAAAATTGACAGTCTGTCACTTTAAAAAATCGTGGCCTGTTTCTTTTTATTGGGCTGTTTGGATCCTGGGCTGCTAGTTAGGAATTCTTAAATATTCTGTGAATCTTCCTAGACCCACTTAATTTAAATATTTTGATTGATCTAGCCCATGTTGTTGAGTCAATTTAATTTGATTTGAAAGGAAGAAAACTTGTCAAGCTTCAGGGCATGAGTTACTCACTGGCGGGGATTAGGAAAGAACTTTGTCTTGCTCTATACTACATTAAACAAGAGATTAGATGTTTTTATGAAGTGGTTTTCAATGCCCTCTGAAGCATCAGGTGCTAGAACAGGGATACTGAACTTGTGTGGATTGTTGAGACACAAAGTGGGTGCCGCAATACCTTTTATTGGACCAGATTCTTTCTGACATTGTTTGGTCAGTTATGGCAGATTTTGTGTTGGGTGATAGAGCTTAATGTATTACTATTTTGACTTTGAAAACTTCAGTCACCCTTTTCACTGTAGTTGTTTTGGTAGTTTGGCTGTACATCTTCTGAAGTGTCTTTCAGTCCCATACGATAAATACTACGTTGTGTAACCTGCCTATTGAAAACAAAGGTATAGTCATTTTGACCTTTCTGTGAAGATGGCCTTTTTAGAAATATTGTACAAAAGACAGATCCTGTCCAACGTTTTGTCAAATTACATCCCCAAAACATGTTGAATATTGGTACTTTCTGTGTGGAATCAACCTGAAACTAAGTAATTTTCCACAGTAAAAAGCCTAAATTTATAATGGGAAAAGTAGTTTCTCAGCAAATATGATATCCATAGCTTCTGGATGGGCAGCTGGAGAAGAGGTGTCAAATAGACCTTATAAGTAATAATAGCCAGTCTGTGTGCTACTACATTACTACCAAAATATCTGAGTCTTCAAGTGGTGTAGATTGTAAGCCTGGGGCAACAACGCTTATTTTATGTATGTACATCTTCCAGCACAATGGAGTAAACAGCCTCCAATTTGGTAGAAATCTGTTCCACATGGTAAACGGAGATGAGCAGTGGGTTGCATAAAAGCCCTTTGCTTTACATGAACTAAAGGAATCTCTCAGAGCTTGCTTGATCTGATTGTGAGGTGCTTGGAGCCAACACCCCTCACGCTGTAACTAAATTATTGGGCAACAAGCCAGAACTGATAATGGTATCACTGTAGGTGCTGGATTACCTCCACTTTAAGCAGTTGAAACTAACTACCTGTTATGCAAGCAAGCGAGTCAGTGAGGCTTGGCACATGCTAAGCCCTGAAATGGATGTTGTTGCCCAGGCAGCAAAGCACAAAAGCACTTAAGCAGATTTGTAATCGAGGGAGACTAGACTAGAAATAAAATAGAAACGTGTTAATATATTTTCAGTATTCAACCTGAATGAATAAAGAGGAATGGTGAAAAATAAATTAGCATTTAGAAATTTTCAGTTTTAATAATAGATTTGTTGGGGAAAAATTTTAATCTGAGAGTGACCCTTTGAGGAAAACTATTAAAATTTAAAGCTTATGATCAAGGTCAGATTATGTGGAATTATACTTGTGGTGAAATGTATTTGCAAAGGGCAAGTTAGTGGGGACAAGTCAGAGTGTGAATCTGTAGCACACTGTCTTGCCGCAAACTAACTCGCTGAAGCTACTCCCAAAAGTAAAAGTGCACTACAGAATTTCTAGTGCCTGATAGGAGCATCTTCATGGCAACTAGTGTGTTGTAGTTTCACACCTTGGCTTGCTGTGCACTGACTGTGTAGACATGCCCAGAGCAAATACCCACTGCAGATGTACCACATTTTGGTAGTTGCTTCACCTAATTGAAATTTTAAAAGCAGCATTGGAATTCGTTAATTTTTTTATGCACCAAAAGGTAAAACTGAGCACTTTTTTTTTTTTACCTATTCATTCTTTGATGCGGGTGTTGCAGAGGTCTCTGCATGCTCAAGCAAAGGTGCCAAGTTGCAACTCTCTAATAGTAGTTAACTAAATAGTATACTAAATATAAAATAAATTAGCTGCTTCTTAAAATAAATGTTTTACCTTTATAAAGGGTGCTTTATATCGACTTATTCTTTATTTGAATTGACATTAGCATGAAAAACAAATTTTTCTCCTGACTTCCCATTTAATAACTGTCAGTTTCCACAGCAACCAATTGTGATGTCAGAGGATAATGATTCAAGGTGGGTGATAAACATAAGAGCAGATGAACTCTTAAGAAATTTGTTTTCATGCAAATGTTCTAAGTATTAAGGAACAAAAATGAAGACCATGATGTTGAAATAGAAAGGCTTCTAAGTAAAATGTTTCTCTGTCTTAATGTGAAGCATCAACAGCTATTTAAGATTTCATTAGGCAGTTAAATGTATAACTAAGAAAATTCTTGCTGTCACCAGACAACTTGAATGCTGCTAGTATTTCTTTCCTGCCTTTTGTTTAAAGTAAAACTTACACTACGTCTGCACTAGCACTTTTGTTGGTATAACTTATGTTGCTCAGGGGTGTGGAAAAAAAATACCCTTCTGAGCAACATAAGTTACACTGACAGAAGTGCTGGTGTGGATGGACAGTGTTATGGTGGGAGGCGCTTTCCTACTGACATAGCTACCACTGCTCATTGGGGGTGGTTTAATTATGTAGATGGGAGAGCTGTCTCCTGTCGGCATAGAATGGCTACATGAGTGATCTTACAGCGACACAGCTGCATCGGTACAGCTGTGCTGCTGTTAGCTTGCTAATGTAGACATAGCCTTAAATTCCTGATATGCGTAGAATGAAAACCAATTGGAAAGGCGTTTTTGGTTCTTGTATTGGATGGACTGAGGCTTGGATGTATTGTCTACATTAGGGATTTTTGCACCAGTGTGGTTCACCTGCTGTTTCCTTGTGCTGATAGAGAGAACCAGACTTCTTTAAAATGAAGTAGCTTTCCAGCTGCTCCCACCAGACTACACTGAGGGGTGGTATGGAAGTGGAGGCTAGGGAAATGTAATAAGTTGTGCTGTGCTTCCTTAGCTTACCTCAGGGGTGGGCAAACCTTTTGGCCCGAGGGCCACATCTGGGAATAGAAATTGAATGGCGGGCCATGATGCTCACAAAATTGGGGTTGGGGTGCAGGAGGGGGTGAGAGCTCTGATTGGGGGTGCAGGCTCTGGGGTGGGGCCAGAAATGAGGAGTTCAGGGTGCGGGAGGGGGCTCTGGGCTGGGTAGTGGGGTGCGGGGGAGGGGGTGAGGACTCTGTGGTGGGCCTGGGGATGAGGAGTTTGGGGTGTAGGAGGGTGCTCTGGGCTGGGATTGAGGGGTTCGGAGGCTGGGAGGGGGCTTGGGCGCAGGGAGAGGCTCAGGGGTGCAGGCTCTGGGCGGCGCTTACCTCAAGCAGCCCCCAGAAGCAGCGGCATGTCCCTTCTCTGACTCCTACACGGAGGCACGGCCAGGCGGCGCTGCACATTGCCTCTCTGCAGGCACCGCCCCTGCAGCTCTCATTGGCTGCAGTTCCTGGCCAATGGGAGCTGTAGGGGGCAGAGCTTTGGGCGGGAGCAGCGTGCAGAACGGAAGCCCCGGCTGCCCCTATTCGTAGGGGCCGGGGTGGGGGGGGCATGCAGTTGCTTACAGGAGCTGTGTGGGGCAGCCCCTGATCCTACTCACTGGCTGGTGCGTCGGAGTGGGGCAAGACCCAGACCCTGCTCCCCAGCGGGAGCTCGAGGACTGAATTAAAATAGCTGGCGGGCCGGATCTGGCCTGCGGGCTGTAGTTTGTCCACCCCTGGCTTAACAGGTGGAAAGAAATGGAAAAGAAAGAAAAACAAATGCTCAATTCTTATCTGAAAGTTTCTCCTATTACAGTGCCCTCAGACTTTGTGGATTAATATTTGCTATGCTGAAATGCTAATCAGTGTAGCTGACTGGAGCACAACAGTTCTGTTTTGTGGTAGCTTTTGAGATTTAAAAATTTGTTCTCATTCTGCTTTGGAATGAAAACAGACTTTTCAAAGATTTTTGAGAAAAACAGATTTGTCAGAAGACAGGCGGAAGGTATGTCAGTGTTGCTCTGTGACCTGATGCTTAGGGTTCTGGTTTGGGATGTGGGAGACCTGTGTTCAAATCTCTGCTCGGTCTGCTTCAGGGGAAAAATTTTCATCCAAAGTCACTGCAAGTCGAGCAGAGCAGGGACTTGAAACCAGGGTCTTTCATATCCCAGGCCTGTACCCAAACAATTCATCTAAAGCAGTGGTTCTCAAACTTTTGTACTGGTGACCCCTTTGACATTACAAATCTCTGAGTGCGACCCCCTCTCTTATACATTTAAAAACACATTTAAAAAATATTTTTAACACCATTATAAATGCTGAATGCAAAGTGGGGTTTGGGGTGGAGGCTGACAGCTCGCCACCCCCCCATATAATAACCTCACAATCCCCTGTGGGGTCCCAACCCCCAGTTTGAGAACCCCTGAGCTAAACTGTGTTTTTTTTCTCTCTCTGCCTCGGACTCAGAAACCTTTCCAACTAAAATTTTGTGGAAACATCTCTGCTAAACATTTCAGTTTTGGTGAAACAGCATATTTTGCAGAAACGGTATGTTTCCTGTTGCATAACTGGACTGTCCCCATTCACCTGCACACTTTGGTTCTGGGTAGCTAGCTTGCAAAATTCTCAGTTGTACAGTGTATGGATCTTTGTACTCTAGTGTTTTTAGCTGAATGCAAGTACTTATAGATGTACAGTTTACCTCTTACTGTGTATGCAAATCACTCTATTTACTCCTATAATCCTTCTGCTTTGACTTGTTCCTGCACTCAAATTATGAAGATGCCACCTCAGCAGTTCATAAGCTTCAGTAGCAGTGACCACTCCCAGCACTTCCACAAAAGGGGAGATAGGTGCTGTCCTACAACTGAGAGGGGGTGGTGATGATTCTTTTAAAAAAATCTTTTGATTTATTTTTTCTTCTTTTCATCCCTCTTTCTCTTCTGTTCTTATTCTCTATAAGCCGGCAAGATTCATGTGCCTAGACAATTGCAGTAGATTGGTGACTTACATTGGGAAGAGATCTTTCAGATCAGTTATGAGGCATCTAATAAAACGAAATATGTATCAGTTATTCAGAGTATGAAACCATGCAGACCTTTAGGGAGGGAATGGTGAAGGGAGGAAAATGAAGGCATCCAGTCTTGGTTTCAAGACATCAAGAGATGGACAATCTACCACTTTCTTTGTTTAACCTTTGCAGCATCCTTACTGAACCATTTCCAGTGGTTGTTGCCAGCTCCAGAAGAAGCAGAGTTAAGCTACATTCCAGGGCCGGCGTGTACCTTAACTTTGTATTTTCTACCTTTCAGAAGTTTAAGTTTAGCCACTCTTCTCGTTCTGGAAGGGCACAAGAAACCAGTAGGAGACCTTATTTCTGTGTTAATAAAGTCTCTGGGCATTTAATATAGTTAAAGGAGAAATGATTTTGTCACAAGAGAGAGTTAACTTTACAGTTGTTAACCAAAGTTGCACCAAAGGAAAAAATTAACCTATTTGTCTGGGCATAAAGCTTCATGAGTTAACTCCTAACCTTGGGTTTTGACTTTGATACTTCCCCCAGAAACATACACTTTTTTCCTTACTCCTGCCTGTTAATTTGAGTAGAAGGACCCTCTAGGTTTGAATATGGCTATCAGGTTTCCAAACAAAACAACATCTTATTGTCGCTTTTGACAAAGGAGAGGCTTTTGGGGGGATACCTTAAATCAAGACCTTAAGGAGAAAGATTGTCTATTTACAGGAAGCACTGTAAGAGTTCCCATATCTGTTCTTGCCTCAAGAGACTCTTTAGATCTGACCTTGGACGCTTTGATGCATGATATTAGGCAGTAGCTCTCCCATTCCTCAAACTGGCCATGGAAAAATTTTGATGCCAGAAAGCCAATCCTCCCATAAAGGATAGGGTTGGCTTTCCTCTTCCCGTCACCCCTGTATCTGAGGTGCAATATCATAATGTATGTATTGAGTTTTAGCTGTCTTCCCTCAAGACATAGCTTCTGAGCATGGGAAACTAATATGGAGGAAGTGGGTAGCAATTGGGCGCTTCCAGGACTTGAAAGCAGTGAGCTCAATGCCAGTTCAGGCAAGATTCTCTGGAGCCTATTCACTTCTGCTTGCAGTGCTCAAGAAATGTCAGCATTTTTCTCATCAGATCTGATCTCTTCCACCTTCAAATATTTCAAGGCTCAAATGACCTTTTCTATTATTGTGGTAGACCCAAGCACTTAACTTCATTTGAAGGATGCTTATTTGATATTCTAACTGTGTGGCTCACCAGAAGTTTCTCTCATTCACCTTGGGTTAAATACATCAGCAATACATCATCTCATTTGGTTTCACCTTGGCTCCCAGGGTTTTCTTAATAGTAGCTGCTTTTGTGCTGCACCACAGATTTTCATACTGTCATCTGCACTGCTTATGAGCGAAGGTGCCATCCCTGCAAGAAGCAACTAGAGTAGTTGAAGACCTGGTGAATCTCCTACCCTACATCAGATTTGTACTCAACTTTGAAAAGAGTGAACTGATCACAGCAAAGACTGATCTTTCTGTGAACTGTTTTACATATCACAGGGGTGGCTTTTCCATTGGATGAAGAATTCTTAAGCTTAGTTAGACTATTCAGATCCAGTTGACTGTCACCAAATGACGCACATCCTTCTGTTGTTCAGGTCAATAACATCATTTGTTGTTTGTTCGGGACTCTTGCTTTTATTCTCGGTTAACTCAAAAAGATGAAGGAATCCCCAGTAAATTTTAATTAACAATATTTTGGCCAAGGCCAAGCGCAAATTTCAGCCCAGATGGTGATTTTTGAGAAAGCTAAAAGGAACTGAAGCCAGGGATTTAGAATGGAAGTGCCACCTCAGCCTTAGCTATAGAATCTCTATTGTGATGCTGTAATTCCTTTCATTTTGGGAAACTTGTAATGGTTACAATCCATCATCTACTTACAACCCTTCCATAAAGAATATTGTCTTAGTGGAAGGGAATTTGGTGAAGAAACAGACTTCAGGTTCAGGATTCCTAAAGGAGAATATATATAAACAGTAAGGAAAATTACTTTTTAAATAATAAATATAACATTAGTGTCCTTTCAATAATTACCTATAAAATGCAGGAGGTAGTTGTATATACGAGGTAGTTGTATATACATATTGTAAGAGAGAACTATTTCAATACTTTTCAGTGTTGTGTTGAGTTCCTCCCTCTCCCCTTTCCCCCCGCCTCATTTTTATTTTTTTTATTTTTTTTATTTTACAGGATGAAGGAAATGTGAAAGAAATTCCTATTACCCACCATGTGAAAGAAGGGTGTGAGAAAGCAGATCCCGCACAGTTTGAATTACTTAAGGTTCTTGGTCAGGGATCATTTGGAAAGGTAAGATACAAACTTCCTTTTTATTCCAATCCTCTACTTCTAATAGACAGCTACTTAGTCCTACTTGTTAACATTAATGAACTTCTCCATTAAAGTTGGTTTTATAGCTTCTGAATCCTCCTGACTGCTGTCAAAAGTACATCTTTTTTTCTGTAGAATTTACAGTGTCACTGGATACTGATGGATTCTTGAGGCCTTTGTACATTACAACTCTGCCTATGAAGCAGGACATGAATTTCTCCCTTTGATCACCGTATTGTTTATCCTGCAGTCCTCATGCAGGCAAAACTCCCATTAAACTCGAGGGTAATTTTCCTATAAGTAACAGGACTGCAGGGTTGGGTGCAGAATAATACAAAAACATTCTTAATCTTGATGAAACAGGTTACCATCAACAGTTTGAAACTGAGTTAGAGAAGGCTGACATAGTTTTTAGAGGCCTAATAAGCCACAAACACGCACCTGTGAAAATTGGCTTGTTTTTGAGGAAGTTATTCCCTGTCTTGCAAGTTCTTGTGTGGAGGTGACAGTATTAGAAAACTTAAACTTTGTGCCCATAGCCCCCTATTAACCTGAACTTGCATGTCCTTTAGACATTTTTGTTGCTATAACTAAGTCTAACTAAGACCAGTGTTTTCCCTCCATTCTTCCTGTTATCCATGCTGAGATCACTTGTCAGTTTCTTGCAGAAGAGATGTACAGTGGGGTTCATTTACTTAGCCATGTCACATGAGGAGGATAAAACTCTTGTGGAAGGGTATATAGTATCTCTTGATATTTGTGGTAAGTTTCCTTTATCCTCTTCCACAGTTACTGTCTCTAAATGTGGAGTACATATTTTCTCACAAGTGAGAGCTGGGAAAGGTCTTTTATCTACTCAATCTCCCTGCTAATGTGGGATTATTCCCTGTTGTGCACTTACTAGTTCTTTATCCAGTCTAGCTTTAATTGACCTGTGCATTGAGACTTTCCTTGGGAGACTATTTCACAGCCTAATAGATCTGTCAAGAAGCTTCCTATGAAGTTCAGCATAAATGATCCCTTATTTTATTCCATAACTCCTAATTATACCCGTTGTATGATTGTAAAAACACCCGTTATATATGCTTGACCTGCCATATATACCCCCTGAATTGTTGTTTAGCCAACTTTTTTCTCTTAAGTCCGTCTCACCCACCTTTTAAATGTTTTTTATTCAATGTATGTGATACCCACCTGTCTGTGGGGCTTAGAGGAAGGTAATGACATTAAACAGTAGGTTGAAAAAGCGGGTTTTGATTAGAGTTTAGAAAGAACTATTAATAGAATACAGCATGGACTAGAGAAACATGTTTCAGCCTTAAATGGGGATGCTATGGGGGGTTGACATGTTGACTTTAGTCCTTTGCCGGGATATGTCCTTAACTTGCTTGTTAGGTATTACATCAGTATACATGAGCTTTCATCTGGTTGGATGTTGTGTGGTCTTAACTTTTTACTATACGCAATATTTAAACCAGGAGTGTGGCCAAAGTTCTAAATTGACTCTGTTAGAACAATACCATGAAACATTTCACTGCTGAAAAGATTTTTGTTGCAAACACTCCTTGACCAAAAATGTGAATTTGTCCACATTGCAATATCTGAGCTTCTGCACCCCATGCACTTGAGTTCGGATTCATTTGGCCAGCAGTGTTTTGGGCTGCGCCTGCCGCCTGAGTGTCCTTGTGCCTTCCATCTGAGAGCGTGAAGGGTGGGCTGACTCTTAGTTCCTTGTCCCTACTGTGGATATGAGTTGGAACCAGCAGTGAGTTTCTCCCTCACTTTGATCTATCCATTGCATTGTAAATAGAGAGGATTCGTTGAGCTATTTTTTTTACTTGTTTCCTTTCTTACTATAAGAAACAGCCCTTTTCTTTGCCTGTGAGACTTCCTGGTACTGGGATCCCGTCATTATGACAACGCACATCTCCAGACTTTAAAGATTACTCTTTCTGATGGACGTATGAGATGCTTATTGTGACGTGGTGAGGGGTACATACAAGACAGAAGTGCCATTTGTAAATCATTCTCAGAGAACTCAAAAGTCGAAAGAGTCTTGCTTAGAATTGTTTCGCCTGGATAGGTCATTGTGCTCCTCTTCAGATCCTGAAGTGGCTGGGGGTGAAAATCTTGACTATTCCTCCTCAAAGTGCTCCCACTGGCTCTTAGGGTTACATATCTGAGACAGGCACTTGTAAAGAATCATCCTCCACAGCTGCTAAAACCTCAGAGGTTAGGGGGAGGAAGGAGGACTGAATCTGTAAGGGGAAGAGGTCTAGACCTCCATCACTGGGTCCTACCTTAAGAAACTAGAAATACCCTTGAATTACATTTGATAAGAGTAGTTCAAGGCCCAAGAAGAGACCCTGTGGTGCCCACTCAGGCATCAGTCACAGAACACCAGGACCAGCTTCTTCACTGAGTCAGAAATTACCAGGTACCAACCCCTTGCACTGAACCCCCTGTTACTGGTATCTCTGGTACCAGCATCTTACATTTGCCTAGCTGCAGCACTAATGTACTTGGTACTGAAACCTGTGCGATATCAAGGGATCTTGTGGCTAAGGTGAAGATTGTGACTCTTACTAAAAAGATCCATGACAAAGACAGGTCACAGGCAATAAAGACCTGTCCCTGACTTTTACTAAAAATATCCATGACAAAATGGGAAACCGCTGGGCAGCTGTGGGGCCAGCTCTCAGAGCTCCACGCTGCCCATCCATGGTGGCTCAGAGCTGTGGGACTCCCCCGGGGCCATAGGTGGCGGGGCTCCTCCTGCTGCCCGCATAGTCTGAGGGTGGCAGGGGTATCCCTAGGGGCTGAAGTCACGGAGGTCTTTGAAAGTCACGAAATCCGTGAGTTTGTGACCTCTGTGACAAAATCATAGCCGTACTTTATTGCCTCTTTGGTACGGGGCACTGTTTTTGGTAATGAAGGTATGGTCTGACACCCCAAGCTTAGTACAGAGCACAGCCTGTGTGTGCTCCCAGCTACTCAAGCTCCAACCCCCCAAGAGGAGTACTGCTTCTCTTCCTCAGGCTCAGATAATAGCAATGAGGAGTCTCCAGTACATTCTCTGTGTTCTAGGTATTGAAACCCTTACATCTGAGTGGGAGTCTAGGACTTATTTTTTTAATTATCCCATTGATACTATCCCTTGGTTGCCACCTCATGTCCTCCTCCTCCCTATAATTACTAGAACCTGTGGCCTTACTGAGCACTATGGAAATTACAAACCAGAAGACCAGCTTCTGCACCCCAATCCAGTCCAGAGCTAGCCCTGGTCTACACTGGGGGGTGGAAATCGATCTAAGTTTCGCAACTTCAGCTACGTGAATAACATAGCTGAAGTCGACGCACTTGGATCGACTTACCGTGGTGAGTTGACTACTGCGCTCCCCCATCGACTCCACCTGCGCCTCTCGCAGCGGTGGAGTACAGGAGTCGACGGGAGAGCACTTGGAGATCGAATTATCGCATCTAGACTAGACATGATAAATCGACCCCCGCTGGATCGATCGCTGCCCGCCAATCTGGCGGGTAGTGTAGACATACCACTAGATTCCCTTCCCCACCATCAGCTCCACTGTCAGCTCATGCTGCAGTTTTGTTGACTGTGTGGGATGATCCGGGCTCTGATGAGGACTTACAGGTGGAGGACTGTTCCAACCCAGCACCTGTCTTGTTGCCAACTTTTGATGAGGGGTGGTACCTGAAATATCTACCTTACAGCCAGATGACTTCAAAATGTTCTAGGATTTGCTATGCAGAATGACAGGTACCTTTTGATGATTCTGGTGGAAGTTGTTCAGGGGAAGTTGCACGAGCTCTTAGACCTCCTACACACCTCCATGCCTGGATGTCTTGCAGTGCTCATCAGTGAGGGACTATTGAAGCCACCCAAGTTACTCTGACAGATGTCTACTTCTCTAGCTCTCGGTAAATAGCTGCTACCAAGTGCCTTCCTAAGCCTTTGAGCAACTTTATGCGCATTAAGTTGAAGTAATCAAGTCCTAAGGTGACAAATACATATACAACTGCTGCCGGGCCTGTGTAAGAAAGGAATATGGATATATTGGCCCTCAGAAATTGATACAAGGCTTTTCTGATCACTGTCCATGGGCTTACAGAGTGATGAGGCATCTGACAGGATTCAGTACTGATTGTTGCTTTAACCACCAAGGTTATATTTGGAGTTCTGGGAAATTCTTTTTATTTTGGTGAGTTTTTTGTTATTTGGTTGTATCCATATTCTCTTCACCTGGGGGTCTGGTTCTGCCTTCAGGGGTATGTGGGAAGCCGGGGGAGGGGAGGGCACAGTGGGGTCCTGCCCCTGGAGGCCCTGTCTGGGAGTCATAATAGGGGGGGGGG